TTGGTTGGGTCTTTCTCTGGTTTTGGTATCAGTATGATGCTTGCCTCCAGAAATGAGTTAGGGAGAATTGCTTCCTTTTCAATTTCATTGAATAGTTTGAGGAGTGTTGGTATTAAATCTTCTCTGAATTTCTTGTAATATTCTGCTGTGAAGAGATAGTCTTGTCTTGCTCTAAGAAGAACTGACAATTAATTCTATTCCATCCCCACACATTGCTATTATTTGGGACTCTGGCCCCTGCTCCTTCAGTGAGTGAAACTTGCTAACCTAGATCATGTGGTTGTGTCACAGAGTCATAGATTTGTAGGAAAAACATTTTATCAAATAGGAAAAACAGTTTCATGGACTCTTGCCCTTAATTTTGGGAATGTTTAGGAAGAATGAATGGAACTTTATTTTTTTCCTCAACCCGGAATGCTTCACAGTAGTGGAATTATTAGGCTTCTATGTAGTAACTTTGACTTTTTATTCTCAAAGACAGGGTGCTGGTAGAATTCTTATAACAACACTTAGTGAAATCTTGCAACCTCACCCATGCCACAGTGCCTTAGTAATGCCTCATCAAAGAGATGTAATTGAGCCTCTTAGCTGCTAAGTGAGAATTGAGATCTTGATATTGGTGCATCAAATCTTAATTTTATTTCTGTAAGAATTCTACCAGCACACTTTCCTTGAGAATAAAAAGTTAAATTTACTACATAGAAGCCTAATAATTCTACTGCCCTGAAGCATTCCTGGTTGAGGAAAAAAATAGAATTCCCCTCATTCTTCTTAAGCAAAAAAGTCAAATGGAAAGTCAAATACATGAACATTATGACTTATAAAGCTGAGGCTAGACTATAGTTTGGCCATGGAGTTACATTAGGTTTACTCATAGTTCTCCATGTGTTCGAGTCTAGGCTGACCCCAAAAATGAGTTTAGACTTGACATTTACTCTAAATTGCTGCCTCATATGTGAAGACCCAAGTGGGCAGAGAAGGAAACAGAGAAACTTCATAAGCATGATGAGACTTTAGTCTGTCTGATGAAATGATGAACCCTGGTGAATGTCACGTTCTACCCTCTACAAAGGATGAGAAGATGGAAGTGTCCATTGTGGGGGCTTACAAGTAGAGCAGGAGGCTAGCATAACGTAGATCTTCCTTTAATGTTGTTACACCTGCATTTACATTGGAAAATAATCTATGGCTATTAGTATGAAAATCTTTCACTTAATTCTAAAATAGTTGTGATTATTTGGAAATGCATTTGTTAGTGGATTTTCTATTATAAGGGAAAAATAGACCTTGTCCATTTCAAAACCATTTTTTTTTTGAAGCTCTACATCAAAGATCAGATTGAGAGCAACACAAGATCCACAAACTTTTCTGAAATGTAATACTGGAGTTCTATCCTGGAACACTAGATCATTTCACTCTTCTTTATCTTCTACATCTTTCTTCTCTCTAAATTTCTATTTTTAAAAAATGTACAATATGCTTTTTAAAAGTTTGGAGCTTTGACAGTAATAAATATACATTTGATATATACCCTCATAGTCACTGCTGGGGGAACAATGGAAAAATTTAGCTGTTCTAATTTATGTCTAAAACCATTACTTTTGATAGATGTTTCTTAAGTTTTAATTTTTTTCTTATAAATTGCAATATCTTATAATAAATTAGCTCATTTTCCTTGGTGTGTGTTTCACAGTTTACCTTAAAAGGTTCAACAGAAAGTTCATAGATGAATGTTCTTTGGAAACATTGATAAATTATTCTTTTTGTTAGTTCTTTGGCTATGCTATGTAGGATAGAATTTTGGATTTTAATCGGCGATTTTTGTAGAGCAAATTTTTACCCAGAAGCATTAGTTGTTAATATGTTAAATCTCTTTAATAATTTATTAAAACATGTCTTGGTGGCCAGAGTGAGTCCTTCTTGGGCATGGTTGTTAGGAGGTGAGATGATTGTCCTTGGAGGTGGCCATTCATTCCAGCCTCTTAGTTCCACAAAGGGACCCAAAAGCTGTTCTCTTACATGTTAAGTTATAGAACATACAATCAAAATACTCCCTTGAAAGATGCTGTACTCCAGATACTTTCTGAGGCTATTTTTAAGAATATTTGTCTGCATTTCTGTTTTTAGAAATAATATTTTAGAAAGATTATTCATGAACAACTAGGTCTAAAACATATCATCATAATAAATTCTGGTGAAAGGTGGGAAAACAGATTGCAATAAATGGGCTCCTGGAGGTTGAGAGTCTATTGCAATTTAGGTAGTTATGTCTTGGAAGATATTTTTGTTAAGTACAGTGTCCTCTCTTATAAGAATTCTCTGAAGAAGCCCCTCCTTTATTGCCATACCTAACATAGTTTTAACTATCTTTAGCAGTTTGCTTTCTTTTTCAATCTCACCAGTCCTATCATTTTCTTATCTAAGTTTTCCTTTCCAGTTTATTTAATGAAAAGTTAAACTCAAAATTGTAGGCCAAGGGTGGCACATATATGAATCATTATGGAAAATATTTATTTCCTACAATTTTTATTTTGAAATTCTCATATTTACAAAAAAGCTGAAAAAAGTACATCCCTTTTACCCAGAAGCATTAGTTGTTAATATGTTAAATCTCTTTAATTTTGTCTCCCTTATACACACACTACTTTTCTCCATACCATTTGCAAATAAATTGTAGATATCATGATACTTTATTCTTTACACTTTGGTATACACCTTCTACAAACCATGACATTTTACTATATATCTATAATACCCTTATTACCCCAGATACTATTATCATTATTTTTTTATTGTGTACTCTCCACTATCATATGTTGTAAGAAACTTCAAATTACATCTGGAGTAGAGTGAAAATAACCTATGTATTTTCAACCCTCCCTTTTATAAAGCATTTGGGAAAATAATTATTAATTTTGTTTTCATTAAATGTCCATATACAAGCTAGTCAGTCTAATCAACAGCTTTCCCATATAATCAATTGTCTTAATTTTGATACACTTAAATAATAACTTTTTCTTCTCCATTTAAACAAACATCTATGTCAGTGTGAGCTTAATGATGTATCATTTGTATGATGAGTAATATGGGAATAGAGAGAAAAATGACAGCACAGATACACTTGACCCAGAACAGCCTAGAGGAAGGAGGCCCAGAAGGTGTGAACACACGTGTCCTCAGGGGTTTGAGGATTCGGTTTCTCTGGGTAAGGATGGCTTCCCTGGCCCCGCCCCATTTCCCAGGCCCCTGTAGACGGTACTGGTATGCAGTGCAGGGCCCGTAGAAAATCTCCTTGGCCAGTTTTGCATCCCAGAAGAGGAGAGAGAGCAGATTAGGTTTGACGCCTAACTCAGAAGCAATTTCGTCCATGTAGTCGATGTACTGCACTCGACTCGCATCTCTTGGGCTTTCCACAAACCTCGAATAAGAATGAAAATATTAGAAGCTCCATGCCAGATTTTAGTCACTGTTCTCTTCTGAGTTTCCAATGGACTTTATTCTGCCTGTTTATTGACATGAGTTATCTTCTGCTTACCAAATAATCTTACATACACATGTGCTATGGCTTGTCACCCCAAAGCCTCATTGTGGTTATAGATGGGGTTTTTCTGAGGTGGCTGGATCTGGGTGTGTGATGCTGAGATTAAGTGTGTGATACTGGAGTTAAGTGTGTGATGCTGGGATTAAGGGTGCCCCACCCTGGGTGTGAGTGCTACCCTGGGTGTGAGTGCTACCCTCCCAGGTGGGTAACCTGGGTAATGAATACAAATGATAGAGAAAGGGTTGCTGCTGTTGCTTGCTTGCTGCTGCTGCTGCTGCTGCTGCTGCTTATTGTCTGCTTGTCCTGCATTGGACTATTTCTCCTCTGTGATGCCCCTCTGTTATGCCACCCTGCCTTGGAGCCAGATGACTATGGATTGAAACTTCTATAAACTGTGAGTTAAAATAAATTTCTCTTTTTCTACATTGGGTTCTGGGTATTTTGTCAGCAATGAGAAAAGTAACTAAGACAACATGACTTCACAAACTTCCTTGGAATACTACAGTCTCAAAATGCAGCTGTGAAATACTTAACTATCTGTAAAATTCCCAAAGAAGCCGTAAGAGTGACATATATGGAATAGTTGAATGAATGAATGAAGTAGTGAATGCCTGAAGTCTTGGATATTGATGCACCTTCCAGGATCCAGTTTCATTATGTAAATCACATAGTGGGGAATATATGAATTGACTAGAGGAGTTAAACTGTGTTGCTCACTTCATGGCTCCAAACTAAATGAAATATTTTCCCCATGTGTTAATTCTGGATATCAACTATGCTTTTGAATACTCTTAAACTGTTATAAGTTGCTCCTCAAATTTGGAATTTTTTTTTTTTTTTTTTTTGGTTTTTCTCCGGTACCGGG